AAATACAGCAGAAGACACTCTGATCATGGGGAAACCTTTCAAGGAGTTACAGTCTCCCTCCTTATGGGCACCAGGGACCAGAACGGCCAGCTACATTCTTCTTTTGCAAAAACCCTAAATGACTATTGGCAGTACAGAATTCTTGTTCATTTATCTGTTTTAATCATATGATCATTAAGGAAAGTCAAAGAATGGTGGAATCATGTGCAGATTAGAAGTCTGAATGGCACTAAAAAATTGAGTTTGACAGCATTAATTTCCATTTGGACAAGAGTCTGCTAGAGGCCATTATTCATCACAGCCCGAAGAATTTATCAGAATTGGAACATTTCTAAAGTAGATCACACCATACCTTATTTGGTGAATGTTCCAGAAATCGTGTGCTGACACAGTCTTAAGACGAATCACAACCACTTAAATGATCGCTTATAAACCGCGATGGTTGTGAAATCCTACCTACATCAACAACAGCATTCAATAGAGTCTATCCTCTTCAACTCCATTAACGTGTTATCTTCTTGTTATTTGATATTCTCGATTTAATCAACACCATTTAAAAATCTACTTATTTAAACAGCACAGTATACTAAAGGTTTCGTTTATGATTAGGACTAATTCCAAAGCATCCTTGATAGACGGTTTCTGCCTAACATTTATAGGCTATCCTAAGCAGCCGGGGCAACTTAAACCCATTGCACCAACTAGTGACCCACTTCCTCTTATTACAGAAACTGAGTGTAAAAGTATACTATCCTGGGAAGGAATCTGAAACCGTCTCTCTAAAGACATTAACTCCAAAACTTTGAAAACTTACGTAGGTAATACACAAAGAAAGGTGCACCCCAACACAGTGATTTCTAGGTCAGCGCCCTTCGAGTACCCAACATCACTTGTGACACCGAGGGTCACTGTTTCCTGGCAGACATGACCAAAATACCCTGAATACCATTCTGCTACGACAAACCCCTGGCCACAGACCTGCTGATTACCAATATACACACACCCACTTGACAGCTGAGCAAGCCAAATCTTAACAAGAAACTTCACCAGTCAACGAAGCAAATGAATCCACGAAACGCCAGAGAAGATAAGGTAGGGAACTCAAGCTACCTTTCTAGGGAATTTGTGCAAAAGCCTCTTTCTTCTACCTGAGCTCAACTTTTGCACATCCTGACGCGCAGGTGACAAAGTCTAGAAGCCTATTCAACCAGAATCTAATGATACCTCTTTCTGTTTAACAGGAGCTGTACCCACATGGCCTTTCACCAGCATATTCTTACCTAGCGATGCAACCTCCAGAAATAAACCTGTCTCCAAAGGGACAACAACGGAACATTGACAGAACACAACTTTCTCTACAGGTCCATGGGGGACAACAAACCATAACCCCTTGGGCCAAATCTGTTCAAGGGAAATCAGAAAGAAATGCACATACAGTGGGAAAATGGGAGTTCAGTTTTGCACACACAGTATTGAGCTGCTGTGGAAAATGCAGTTGAATACTGTTCACACACAATTTCTGGAACATTCACCAAATAAGGTATGTGTGATGCTCATGGGTTGTATAAAAACAGGCAGTAGACAGATTTGGCCCAGGGGTTATAGTTTGTTGTCCCATGGCCTAGAGAAAGTTGTTTCTGTCAATGTTCCTTGTTGTCCCCTTTTGTGAGACAGGTTTATTTCTAGTTCATCCTAAATATGCTGGTAAAGCCATGTGGGTACAGCTCTGTTTACAAAAGAGGTATCATTAGATTCTTTGATAGGCTTTAGACTTTGTCACCTGCCTCAATGTGCAAATTGAGCTCAGGGTAAAGAAAGAGGCTTTTGCACAAATCCCTAGAAAAGGTAGCTTGAGTCCTACCTTATCTCTCTGGGTTTCTGCATTCATTTTGCTTTTGACCTGTGAATTTCTTAAATTTCTTCTCAGCTCAGTTATATATTTTATTCAGCATCTGTGGCCATTTTCAGTAGCAGAATTATTCAGGGTATTTTGTCATTCTGCTAGAAACAGTGACCCTCTAATCACAAGTGATTTTTACTCACATTACTTAAATCACTGTGTTGGTGCACCTTCTTTTATTACCTTACGTAAGTTTTCAAAGTTTTGGAGGTTAATGTCTTAGAGAGACTTTTCAATTCTTCACATAAATAGGATCAAACAGTATTTATTCCCTTGTGTCTGGCTTCTTTTGATCAATATAATGTTTCTGATATTCAGTCATCTTTCAGATTGT